TTGAATAATATACCCATGGGTAGGGTACATACATCTATTCGATAGAGCAACTTCCTTGGGAATGGATGCCTCAAACTGGTTCAACAGTACTGGACTCACCTCCGTATGGTAAATGGCCATGACAGCCAATAACGGCAATCTAGAAACTTGAGATAGTTTTAACATGATTAATGCATCAGATTTATTATTATTATTATAATGCTATTGCGGTGCAAGTAAACTTCGTTTTTAAAAATGAGGTATTACAGTCATTTGAACATGCTGGCTCTCATCATTATGATTTGAATATTGATTTACAGGATACATGGGTTTTTACGGGCGTCCAGGGATACTTGTTGTTACGGGGTTTTAGGAATTTTTACAAGGATGATTCCTTAATTCCAGGAAAAATCCCTGTTTTTACTGCTATTTCCCGTTAAAAACCATTAAAACTGGTAAATATCCTAGCTCCGTGACGTGGACAGGTACGATGTTCCAATTTGTGCAGTTACGGGGGTCAGGTAAATAATCCCATAAAAACTCCCGCTCCCCTGTAACTTTCGTCCACAGTGAAGTCCTCGCCTTTATAAGGTTGGAGATTTGGTGCATTGAAGTAAATAAGATGACAGGGCCGTCTACAGGTAGGGATGCTACTGCTGGTACTACAGCAAAAAAGAAAAGGAAGCCCAGGGAGACTGTGGTCCCTCCACAAATGAGCACCCGTTCCAAGTCAAAACAAAAGACCCAAATCAACCAGTCTCCCGGTGCCAGTCTTGTTGACTGGTATAAAAAGAGGAATTCACTTCAGCCTGATGCCGAAAAATTTGTCAGCAAGCTCAAGTCCAAATATTTCACAATAGAGGGAAATGATTCTTATCTAAATTGGCAAGTTTTTGGAGGTTTTGCTGGGGCATGCTTCAATGCCCCGCCGTCCAACGTATGCTTCTTGAATGGATTGCTAGATCAAGGGCCCAACAAAATCGGACCAGCAGCGAATGGATTGCTAGATGAAGGGCCAAAAAAAATCAGTCCAGTAGAGAAAGGTGCACCTGCCGCCACAATAATGCGTGAAGAGGGGGCACCCTTAGATTATTGGAAGCCATCCTCTCCAACAAGAAGGAGAAGAGACATTGATAATGGTGAGCAAAGTTGGGCGCAGCAGCTGAGAATGAAGAGGGAGTTGCAACCTTTCATGGCAGGGAAAGAGTCTGAAGAGGTGGGAGAAAACTTTAATGAATTTCTGACAGGTCTTGACAAAATGTTACAACCCAAAGCACACGAAGAAGAAGCAGTTCAAAGCTCGAACTGAAAAGGCTCGAACCTCATACCAAAAGAAACTGAAGGAACACTATGGTGATGTAGACCACAATGCATCCCAATTGTTAAAGAAATACAACATCAAGGAGCCAAATGCACACAAGTCCAAACCAGGCGAAATTTAGAAGATTCGGTATGAGCCACGCAACGCAGAGAAATCTTTACCCACCTTTACAATATTCCTGGGATCTCAAAAAAAAACCAAGAGTTCCATCTCTAACGTAACAGTTGGTTATGTCAAATACTATCTTGGCAGTGGATTTGTAGACAGATGCATTGCTTATGGAGAAAGGTGTTCGGAAAGGGGACTCAATCAACCGGCATTCTTTGTGCCACTTGGAGACAGCAACACTGATGTCGCACATGACCATTGCCTTGTACAATTTAAAGGCAATGGGGACAGGTTGAAGACTCTTCCATATGTGCAAGGAGCAAACGATTGTTGCCCATCCGACATTGTTCCTTTGTCAACAGGTTGGCAGGAATACTTAGTTCACCATTCTGAGGCTGTATATGATGCTGATGCATGTTGTTTCCGGTGCACTTAAGGAATATATACCCACCACCAGGTAGAGCATTGTCTTTGTGGATACCAAAAGTCAGCTTCAAGCGGCAAAGGAGATCACCAGTTATATCTTTAGCAGTGGTTGTGGCACGTTTCCTTTTCTGGCCGTTGTCCCTGTTATTTCTTCTATCATTGTGCAGTACCTTTCTCCTTATATCAGCCGCAATTCCACATGGGTCATAGTTGTTGGGGTCGTCTTTATTTGTTGTAGCACTTATTCTGCATCTGTAGCACCTGAGTAGGCCAGTTTTTGGATCAGCATGAAATTTGGACCCGTGGTAACATGCAATCACCCTGAGATGGTTCGTAAGCTCCTTTCTTCCAATGGGGGTGGGGGGAAATTGCAGAGGATCGAACCTAATAGCATGATCCCGGCGCCACTGTTGTTCTTTGCCTACATAGTCAAATAAATTGACTGTCTCGTCTTCATGGTCAATCAAGCCTTTAAAGGGAAGTACGGCCTTCCACTGCAGCTCCCTTGCTTTTGCATTTTGCAATTGGTGTTCTAAATAACTTTGTGATGATGGTTCAGCCAAGAGAGACATGGGGAATGCGTTCTTTTCTAAGGCAATGACAACAAGTTATGATGCAAAGCTACTTTTTGGATTGTGTCATGTGTGTTGCTACTTTTTTGAGAGACGTCGGTACCAAACTTATTTTCCGACTCTTTGTCTGTCCATTCACTCACATTATTCAAGCGACCTGTTGGAGGTGGAGGCCAGACTGACCGTGCCTGTGTCTTTTGGTAAATATTATGTGCTTGATCTTTGTTTTGTGGATGAATGAAACAGTGGGATTTTCCCCAATGTCCGTCCCCTTTTGGTAGGTACAGTCCCAATCAACATCAGACCGGATATCGTGGAAAATCCATAGCTGTGGTACAAAACGCGTCGTTCGATTGAGTCGAAAACAAATCTGACTTATTTGACTTTCAAATGACCGAAATTCTGAAACACTTAACGTGACAACGTTGGTCTCCTGACTCTCATCGTAGAGAGAGCGTGCTAGTGCATTGATGTAGCTACTGCTAGGCATGATAGACGGTGATTGATATTGTTATTGGGGTGTATTTAGGGGGGTCTAAAGCAGCTGTGAGTAGATGATAGATGATTGATCTTGGGCTTGAGATTGGCGATGACCGTTGGCCTTTGATAGCTCTAATATATCTGCTCGGGACTTGGCAGTCCAGTCAGTCACGTTACGTCCCCTCTTCTTCGATTTAGGCGACTCTGTTGTAACATCTCATTTTGGTCTGTTTTCACCTCCCTCTTCTTGATGAATGGCTGCTGGCACCAAACAAGGTAGCCAAAGAAAAATCGCCATTTAGCCTTCAATTGCAAATGGGGCTGCAGCATTCTCTCTGACGTCCAGGTTGCTGGCGAGCGGCTTCAAGTGTCTGACAGTTGCGTTCAGGTCCAAAGTTTGACTAGGTGCTTCGCGGTACGACGGTCAGAACGGGAGGAGTGTGTTGACGGGTAGTTGCTCCGTCAATCCAAACATCAACGTGTGATTTTCTCCATCCTCGCTGGCAAAAGGGATGTAGTATTCAATGATTGCTTCAATGTTGACACTGTCTTTGATTCCTCCAATCTTGATTGGGGCACAGTGAATCTTTGGAAAGTTGTACACCTGTTTGACCAATTGGGGGTGTTGTTTTGCGATGGCGAGATGGTATGCTTTTTCTCCTATGTTGCAGCATCCTCCTGTGTTGTATATTCCTTTTAAGTTGGCTGTGTATCCGCGGTTGAGGCCGATTGGGAAGTGGATCACTGCTAGGACTTTGTTCACTGGGAAGTCCAATTTTTGTGCTTGTTCCGTTGCTGCAAAGCTTCTGACCGTCATGAAAGTGAGTGGGGGGTCCGTTCTCCTTTGCTTCCTCTTTTGTCCGCTGTTGTTGCCCATGTGCTCGGTGATTGTTTTGGCCAAGTTTATCAAAAGTGTTCTTTGTTCATCTTCCCGTGTTTCTGGATGCTCAATCTTTTGAATTGTTTCATAAATTATTTGATTAATATAACCACTGTCCTTGTAACTTGTTATGTCGCTTTTGTGTCGTCTCTGCTCTCTCTTTAGTCTGTAGTCCTCTAGGCTTTTTTCAAACTGGCTGATAACTCCCGGATCTCCTTTGTGGGGGCATTCTCTGAAAGAGTGGCCTATCTTTTGGCATCCCCAACAACGGATCGAAGGTGTTTTTTCACTTTCTTCTTCAATGTTGAGTGCTTCTTTGGCAGCATTCATGCATGCTAGCATTGTTATGGCAGCTTGTGGGCAGTATAGTTTGCTGCCGGGGGTCAGGACTAACAATGGTCTTCCTTGTCCGTCAGTGACTCAAATGTTTTGCTTTGGTGATTGTTGGAGTTTGGACGGAGCAATTGTCTTGGAATCCTTGGAATTCTTGTTGGTAGAATCCTGCAAAAGCTCTTCCTCCCGGACTTGGTGGTACAGATAGCCCTGGAACGTAGCTTCTGTTTGGCCTGACTTGTCCCTCGCTGTTTGCTTGATGCGCCTCTCTTCTTTCTCTGCTTGATTGCGTAGAAGGTGCATTTGAGACAGGTTGCTGGGGTAGTCCATAAGTAGTGGTCCTGCTGCTCCTGTCTCTAGGTATTCAGCCACAACATCCTTGATTTCTTGTGTGAAGGCTTGGAACGCTACTCCTGCCAAGTCTGATAGTTTCCAGGATGATGGTTGAGAACCCATTCAACAGTCAAACGGTTTGGAAATACGAGGAGACTACTGATACAAATTATGCAGCGAGGACCAATGGGCATATACAAGTAGGTTTACCAAGGAGCTAGGGTAGGCGCCAGCGGTCATTTTTGGGACCAAAGAAACAAATGAGACCAAATCACTTCATGGGAACAGGTAGATCATATGTCTCCAAAATGCCCAGACAGACTGCTACCAAAGATCCAATGGAAGAATCAGGATCAATATGTTGACTATGGGAAGAAGCTCAATCTTAATCAGATTGGAGCAACTGTTCCAGCTACTATTCCAGCTATAGTTCCTGGTGCTTCAGCATCCACAAGTGGAGCATCAAGTGTTGTGGGAAGCACTAACACATCTTTGCGATTTGCTCGTACTCAAGGTAATCAAATGATGCAATTTCCTTTGGGAATGCAGCTCATGCAGATTCCAACTCAAGGTGGCGACACTGTTACTCTTCCTTACTCAATGAATGCTAACGTTGAGATTGCGTTCAGTGGAATGCAACTTGGCCATCAAGGACTCGGTGGTGCTCAAGTGCGCCAAGGATTCAATGCAACTCAAGCTCGAACTCCGCAGGTCATGAAGACTGGTTATTACGATATGTCAAATCTCTTCCACAATGCTATCAAGGGAAAGGATGAGAATGGCAATGATGTCTATCTTATTCCATGTCCTGCTGGTATGACAAATATCGAACTTCAAGCCGAGTGGCACTATGCTAGTTAAGATGAAGATTTGCCTGATCTTGCTATTGAAGCAGATCGAGGTCTGCAGTTTATCCAAAGCCACAGAAAGGAAAGAGATCCATTTGGGTTGTACAATCATGTCACCATGGACAGTGGTTGCACAAACACCACCATTTGTAAAATCATCCATCATCTACTCACAGCTGCTTCAGACCCCTGTAAATACACCCCAATAGCAATATCAATCACTGTCTATCATGTCCAACAGTAGCTATATCAATGCATTAGTACGCTCTCTCTACGATGAGAGTCAGGAGCACAACAATAGCACCTTAAGTGGAAGCCAGCCCAAGATTTGAAGCCCAAATGCTTTCAATTTGCAGTCAGAGCAAAGAAGTTTGTTCACACAATCAGCCTACACATGGGGAGGACAGTTCAACCCCGATCATTTCCAGCACACCATGTTTGCTATGACATCACCAAGTCCTGTCAATATGGAGAATGCAGCGTTTGCCGCAATGACTGCCACGTTGCATCACAAATATGAAAAAAAGAAAAGAAAAGATTGTATCAACAAAAAGTTGTGTTGGGTCAACCAAAGCCACCTGGACAAAACATCACCTACAACCATTATACCATCAATACTGCCGTCCTAGCTCCAACCACAGAGTCTCCGGAAATCAAGCAAGCAATCCTACAACAGTCTGTGAACTCCATCAAGCAGACAAAGACAACAATGGAACACAGGTGGATTTCTTGATGGAGCGCTACACATCAGTATGCCCAGACATTTGCTCACGCTTCAACACCACCACCAGCAAATTGTTTGATGTGACTAGTGACGTTTACAAGTTCACAAGCCTACACGTCATCAACAACATGGGACAAGCGATTGCTACGGGATTTCCGCATCCAGTTTATCACAATGAAGATGGAATTACCAATGTACTTGTGATGCACGAGATGATTGCTGTGGGATACCGCATTACTATGGATACTGATGCTGACAATGCATTCATTGTGCATTGTGATGGAAACAGAAAGATGTGATTTGTAAATTGTAAGGGTGTGTATGTGTTGGAGCAACTTGGAGCAAATGTCGAACTAGGTGCCAAAGAGACAAGTGCGATGTACCGTCGCCAGTTAATGAACATAAATACACAATCCCATTTCAAACTTTCTTCAAACAAACAGAATGGATATGCTGGACTTGAGATGACCTCCAAGATAGCAACCGTTTGAAAGAATAAGGAAGGATTCACTCCAAGACAGCTGCGATGGAAGCGAGAAGTGCAATGCACATACTCAATGCTCCAAGCACCAAAAGTCTGAAGTATGCGATCCGATGTGGTCTCATCAAGAAGAAGCGATCAATCATGCCGAAGCAATCTTTGGACCTGACGCCTCTACATTGAAAGGCAAGTCAACAAGACCAACTCCAAAGAAGACGTACGACAACTTCTTCAGTCCACCAGAGGAATTATATCAGCACAATCGATCTATTACCGTCTGTATTGATCACATGGAGATCGAGAATGCTAAGTTTCTCACCTGCATTGATACCACTGTGCGTTATCGCTCATGTATTCCCGTGCAGAACCTGAAGACTGACCCTGTATTTGAAGCATTGGATAAGATATTCCGCCGCTACAACAAGGCAGGCTTTCAAGTCAAGACGATCAAGTGTGATCGGGCGCTCATTCCTCTGACGGATGATATGCTAGACAATATGGGTGTTACTATTGACCCGACTGCAGCTGGAGACCACGAGCCTACAGCTGAGCAAAACAATAGTAGGACGCTGAAAGAAAGAGTCAGAGTAGCTCTTGCACAATTACCTACAAAGTGGTCCCAAAGGTGATCACTGAATGTCTTGGACGTCGAGCCGCCGAGCTATTGAATGTCTTTCCCCAGAAAGACAGTATCTCCTCACATTTCAGTCCGCAGCAACTCATTGATAATGTCAATGGTTGCTGAACTCGGACAATATGTTGATGCAATTGGGACAATTTACATTGAGCCTACAAAGGGACAACGTACTGGGCACTGAGTGCTCAACCTCAATACTAAGAAGATGATTTCCTGACCCAAGGTTGTTGTACGGACCGGCCTGAAATGGCAGACTTGCTGGGAATGTCCTCAGATATGTCATAGATTCCCTGGCAAGGATGACGGAAACTGACGTGCCGGTGACAGATTGACTCACTCGGTCACTCTGCATAAAGTACCAGCTTTGCATGCTGTACACACGTGGTACAGAGAAGAGGCTGATTTGCCGCTCAACGCCTGGCCTCATACGACATGGTCTCAGTTAACAACCAAGACACTTCCTTCCGTTGAATAAATATGTGCATGGTTGGAATGCTCTCGCACAGCTATCTGTCAGTGGGCGCCACATCAAATTCAAATCACCAACGTCTACTTTCACTCACGTAGCACCAACATTGCCAGCCGGTACCAGGAGTATTGAGGAGTTGAACGAAGTAAGGACAACCGAACACAAGAAGAAGAAGGAGTTGAACCAAGTGACGAATCGTCCATCCATTCCACCCAATCCATCCAACTCCCGCAGCCTTGATAAAAAATAATAACAAGAGAGTCTTGTTTCAAGGTTTGAAGCACAAACACATGCAAAAACAAAACAACAACAAGACTCACAAACGAAGCATCCAAAGCAGCAGCAGATAAAGTCAAAGTCAAACTCATTCCGCAAGCTACGATTGCTTAGCGGGTGAATAGGCCCAAGTTGACGGCTTCTGATCTTTTGGTTATTCCGTCCTTACATCAAGCGATTGGATGTGGAGGAAGATGATGCCTTCCTTGCGCAAGCGTCCAATTTTCCACACGAGCCAAACTGTACGACACGCAATAAGTATCAATTTTGAAGGGTGGACTGTACCATGTGGCACTTGAGCGTGCGACAGAGTCTGCTCTTGTGAACAAGTCAAGTCATCGTGCTGAATAAAGGAGACAACAAGAAGATCGCATATCCTTTCTGCTCATTCCTTTTGGATTTTTTAGGCTCCGTGCCTTTGGCCACTGGCGATATTATACATATAATAGTAACACTATAGCTACCGGTTTGGATGACTAGACTGATAATACTGTAATTGTAGCAATGCTAGCACTACCGATAGACGAATATATGCTTGAATACAAGTCTATTAGTTTGGTTACAGGAGTATGGTTCTATGCTATATCTATCCGATTGTCACAAAAGCGTTAAAATGCGCTGCTAGTCAGCCAAAACAGATCAATTACTGGACGAAATATAGACAAGGAAAACTTGTGACTACCAGATCCTTTCAGACTACAAAACTACACGTACGGAGGACAGACCACGTACT